AACAGTTAGTGGAATTGAGAAGTTTAATTTCCTGAAAAAATGTTTTAAGAAAAAAAGATAGTATGATATAAATTTCACCCGATAATAGCACTAACCGTCCGGGAAATGGAAACAAAAGGTTTCTCGCATGTAATAGGGTTTTTTTTCATTATTATCGCCGTAATGAATGTCTCATAATTTGCTGGAAAAATATGAATCTTATACGCCTTTAAATTCTATAACTGAGTATGCATCATTTACAGCATTCAAATGATATTCTGTATCTCCCTTGTCAAAAACATCTTTTAATTTGCTAAAGCAATAAGTAAGAAAGGAAGTTAAAAGAGAATAAATGATGTTTTTTACCAGGTTTACTTCTAAACTAATTGTACAAAACATTTTAGTTGAAATATTATTGCCAAATAGCTGCTACATTCGCAAGAAAGGAAGGATTTAATCTTCCGTAGCCACTGTTTCATAACGGATTTTCTTTTTCAGCAAGCATAAATTCGCGATAACGATTCAGTATATAGCTTCAGGCTTCGAAGGCACCACTACCTCAATGGTATCTCAGAAGCCTAGAGCTGTATAAATTGACAAAATTAATAAGATTGACAAACGTAATATGATCCACCCTTGTTAGCTAAATTCGCGATCAGAAACTTTGTTATCAGAGGATGTTTAAACAGAATTTTTTTTTATTCTTTGCAGATAATAATTTTTATGAAAATAAAAGAAATATACACTTATTACAAAAAAAATGAAACATCTCTCTGTCTGTGACTCTGTCTGTCTGTATGTCTCTCTCTCTCTCTCACACATACACACACACACACACACATATATACAAAACTTTAAACGTTATTTTAGTGGATACTCATATTTGAATGAAAGCACAGTTTATTTATTTGTTTAAACATATAATTTTATTTTTTGAAGATAATATTTTTATATATATATATATATATATATATATATATATATAAATATATATGCATATATAGAAAGAAATGTACACTAATTACAAAAATGAAACAAACACACACACACACACACACATATTTGTATTATAATATATATATATATATATATATTTTTGAAGTTATTTTTGGATCATTTGAATGAAAGGAAATTTGTTTAAACATTAATTTTAAAAATAATATTTTAGTCATTGAAGAAATATACACTCTGTCTCTCTCTCTCTCTCTATACATATATATATATATATACATATATATAAATATATATGCATATATAGAAAGAAATGTACACTAATTACAAAAAATGAAACACACACACACACACACACACACACACACACACATATATATATATATATATATATATATATAAACTTTAAAGCTTATTTTTAGTGGATACTCGTATTTGAATAAAAAGCTCCGTTTATTTATTAAACAATATATATATTCGAGAAATCTTATTAAAGAAAGTGTTTGTGAAAAATCAACATACCAGACCCAGGCTGTAATTTGAACTCTGATCACCGATTCTACTTGCCGTAACGATAACTGTTAATGTGCCCACACACCCTTAACATTTTTATGATTTAATTTTCCATCTCTAATGAAGAAAGGACGCTTGGAAAGCCTAACACTCACAAGGTATATCGAGGGTAAGTGAAGTAGGGGAAGGTAGGGAGCCGTCTACCTGACGCGCTTGTGAGAGTGGATGGCGGAACAGGAGAGGGACGAGTCGGTAAAAGGGAGAAACAACCACAAAGGGGTGGGAAGTGGTCCTAAAGGGACACGACTAGAAGAAGAAGAAGAAGAAGAAGAAGAAGGATGAGGAAGAAGAAGAAGAAGAAGAAGAAGAAGAAGAAGAAGAAAAGCAATGTGGGTAGGGAAAGATATTTTTTCTCTCGTCGAAATCATTTATAAAATTTTAGCTAGTAAAAATAGTGTCGAGATCTTATCGAATATTGATGTTTTAACAGACACGGACATATTTCTGAACCATAAAAGAAATAATCGAAAATATTATTGATGGTTCCGAAGTCATTTTTTCAATATTAATTTGCCTTTTTTGCATCACAGTTTGTATAGAATATCAATATTTATTTATTACCCAACGTAGGCACAGAGAAATTATATTATAGTTTTTCAATAGTTGAATCGAGCCTTCTCGTCGCGGAATAATGTTTAGCCTGTCTTGCTGGTCATTACGACTGACTTGGGCGTTCGATCCTCACTGGGTGTCTCATATTAGTGGTCTTGTACCCAAACTAAGTTAGCCTTAGTAAATAAATCACAAAAGCCTAGCCTCATATTGAGAAGCATTAATCGTAAAAACCCTGAAGAATTTAACTCTTAAATTTTCATAACATTGCCGAGCATTTCATTTTAGCGTTCCGGACTTGGTCGCTTAACGAACTGGTCGCTAAGTGAGAGATTGTACCAAATGGTCATTTCGTGTATACTATGAGTGTAATGGATTTGTGCCAACCAGCTTTATTGACAGTTTTGCACCATTTGTAACATTTCGAATTTATTGCTAAATGTTTATTCAGTGTAGTAATATACTGAACCATTGAACAGACACGAAGGCAACCAAGACAATTGCTAAGTCTGCTAAGAAAGTTAGTTCACTCTCTAGTTAGTTCATTGCTAGAGAATCTTTCTTGCTAGAATCTTTCTGCCAGAATCTTTCTTGCAGAGTTTTAAGTCTACCATTTGACAGTGCATTGAATATTTTTGCCACATCTGATCTGATATGTATCTTGAGTTTCTGAACAAAATCCAAAGAAACTTTTGAAGTCTCCGTTTGGCAATTTCGACAAATATTTTCATAGCAGATTTTCTGATGAACTTTCTTCTTTGGTAATTCAACTCCATGAATTTAAGCATAGCCCTAGATTGGCAGTTAGGTACCATCATTTTATAATTGAAATTGATAAGTGTAACCGTAAGTTCTATCCTAATAGTTTCTTCTCTTACATCTGGAACTCTCTTACAGTTTCTGGCTTTCCTGATAGGTACAATCTTCAATATTTGCATTATTTACATTGTTCGTCTTTAGTGTCACATTCACGGCGTTTCGGCCATTGCCCTTTTGGCCTTTTGTTTGGTGCAATTACATATATATATATATATATATATATATATATATATATATATATATATATATAAATGTGTGTGTATGTATGTATGTATGTATGCGTGTGTTTGTGTAGCAAAATATTGGTATATTTATAAGAAATAGAATTTACGATCTGAGATATTGTCAGAAGATATATTGGTGTGAAGATCGTATTGAAACGCAGTGACTATGCAGTGTTGATCCCATGTATTGTCGTCTAAATTATGCAAAGAGGAAAATAACACTGACATCTCATTTTAACAGTTATATTTATCAAAATTACACAAAAATATCTAAAGAGTAAATTTATTCAGTAAAATCTCGATTGGCTTCAATCACGGCCTCCAGACGACTTCGGAATCTCCTGCAATTCTTCTGTAAGCTCTCCTTGTTTAAGTTGGTGAATACTACCATAATCCTTGCCTTCAGTTTATCTTTGGTCTTGCAAGGAGTTTTGTTGATCTCTCGTTCAACTGAGCCCTACACATAATAATCAACGGGGTTGCAGTCTGGGGAGTTAGGTGACCAGATGTAAGGGCGATGTGCTCACAGACATTCACTGAGAGCCATGATTGAGTTCTCCTGCTTGTGTGACATGGTGCAGAATCCTATTGTCAGACAGTGGGTCTTCCCGCAGTCACCCTCTTGACCCAGGGCAGTGCTACCTCCTCAAGGCACTTGATGCTGGACACTGTGTTGAGTCTGATGTCCTGACCAACAATTTCAGGAGTTCCTTTCTTATCAGAACAATCAGAGTGTGCTTTCCAGGGGGCATAATCATCATTAGACTCATCCAACTCTTTCCGAATCCTCTCCATTGTTCTCAGATTGACATACAGATATTCTGAAATGTTCGTACTGGAGCTTCCCGAGCGAATGCCAACAGTAGAGTATGCTGTTTCCAAATTTCTGGCGCAGTGAATTGCATCATGGTGCTCTTTTTCTCTCAGACCATGCCTAACCGATCCTACAATACTGTGCAGTCGACAAAATAAAAACAAACAAACAACACGCATGTGCGAAAATAAAAATATAGAATGGCGACAAGTTACCCGACGCACCCGCTATATCTATCTATCTATCTATCTATCTATCTATCTATCTATATATATATATATATATATATATATATATATATATATATATATATATATATATATGTGTGTATATATGTGTGTGTGTGTGTGTGTGTGTGTGTGTGTGTAAAATAGATAGGTTGGTTAATAAAGCAAGGAGAAACGAAAGGTACCAATATAATTAGTACGATGAATATTTATTAAATTAGAACCATATGACCAACATGAAACACAGAGAGAAAGGTTTTATGTTCGGAATTTTCGGACACGAAACGGAGAAATGGGAATTACTAACCGACAGATGTTTTTGTAGATCGTGTATTTTCCAGTGGAAATCATATTATTAGCAAAAGCCATATCTCTGTCTGATTCCTCGATATATATATACATATATATATATAAATATACATACATATATATATATATATATATATATATATATATATATATATATATATATACATACACACATATATATATATATATATATATATATATATATATATATATATATATATATATATATATATATGGAGCCTCAGCTCACGACTTTAATTCGTTTCTGAAGGGCTTTCCTAACTCGAAATGTTTGTAAACCGAAACTATTTTTCTCATCGGAATCAATGTAGAAATAAAAGTCACAGAACAATAAAATTGGAAAAGAAAAGCACAACACAACACGCGAATGTATACAACATGGCGGTCGACTCAGAAATGATTCCGTTCGGGTTAACTCGGTTCGGCAATGTTGTTCGAGAACCGAAATTTTGTTCGATAACCGAGGCATTTTCATTTCGAATTTTCTGTTCTAAAAGCGATTTGTTCGACATGTGAGACGTTCGTGAACAGAAGTTGTTCTGTATATCTAAATCTATAACTATCTATCTATCTATCTATCTATCTATCTATCTATCTATCTATCTATCTATGTATGTATGTGTGTGTACACACACACACACACACACACACACACACACACACACACACATATATATATATATATATATATATATATATATATATATATATATATATATTATGTTCATCAATAATTCTCTTCGATATATTACGCCAAGCCCATAACCCTTGTAGGAGAGGATATATAGACGTAAAAAGACCCGCGCACTTCATTACATGAAGTTCATAGAAGCACTGACGCCACCATCTGCAATCTGGTCTACAGTATGTGTTTAGATACAAACTCTTCAACCATAATATCTGCCTATCTATCTTCAGAAGTCTTTAATTATCGACTTCCTTTCTTAGAAAGACCACAAACCAGGTTAAGTAATTCATATCTTGTAACGGGGCCAAATTATGTCTTTACAGGTATTTGCGATATTATCATTATTAACATATAATCAGTATTGTCTTTGTTTTAGAATCTAGGGAGAAAATAAGCGTTCTTTCCAAATGACAGACGGAAAATATTGGCAATTATTTATCGTATTTTCTTGTGTATAATACGACTGCATGTTTCTGAAGTTAGGAACATAGAATAAATTACATCCATGAGTATAGTACGGCCCCGTAGTGTAGCCATACCTATGTATTCTTGCTTAAATTGTACCATATTATCCATTAAAATCTCAAGTTGCGCATATATTTCAGTAAAATATTTAATTTCATACGATATTAAAATATATAAATAAAGTAGATGTTTAGTGTTTTTTTCTCTTAATTTCCGTTTCAAAAGTTATTTTTGGTTCTTTTTGCATTGAATGTGTTTACAGTCTTGCTGTGTCAAAAAAGCTTATTTAAAGAGCTTCTTTAATTAGAGTGTCTTTTAATTTTAGTCATATTTCTCATCTTTGGCACAAGAAATTACCAAGATAAAATCTCAAGAACCGGTGTTTTGTCAGTGCTTTGTTCGTTGTTCGGCAGTTTGTAGAAGATCTGAAAGTCTACAGTAATGACTCAAAGTAGAAATTTATGAATTTTTATTTTACTAATTCAGCTTTAGCACTAAAAAAACGTTTATTTTATTGTTATGGAAGGTTACAAACGAGAGGCGAGATAGGATGTGCTAATTTTATTACCTCAGCGTTTATACAATATTCTACATTATTTTTTAGGATATGAACTGTTTTGAGCAATTTACGAGTTCTAGTGGTCAGTTGATTTTCTATCTTGCGGAGTAGAAATGAAACGTGTATGTAGCAATTACATATTTCTTCTACTAATTTTATTTTCAAAATTCATTTCATATTTTTTTTTCGTGTTGGGTGTATTTAAAGTTTTGATGTTTCAAATAAGTGTGCTTGTGTATAATACAGATGTACTTGTGTATATTACGAACCCATTTTTACCTTTAATTTTCGTTCAAAATCTCTCGTCTTATATACAGTGTAACCCGGATATAAGAGACCCGGATATAAGAGAAACCCGGATATAAGAGAGATTTTCTCTGGTCCCAAATTAGAGCCTGTGTTAATGTATATAAAATAGACCAAACCCGGATATAAGAGAAACCCGGATATAAGAGAAACCCGGATATAAGAGACTCCGGTCCCGACAACTCTCTTATATCCGGGTTACACTGAATACGAAAGCAAGTCGTAAAATCAATGTTTGCTCCGTTCGTCGTAATCTATGCAGTTTCTAGAACATCCCAAAGACTGCAGCATATCAAGAGATATTTTCGTTTTTTTTCCTTTTTAACTCGTTCTCTATAGTTTAGTTATAAAAGCACCTCATGCATAGTGTTTCTTTTTGAGAATACAAGCTCTTCTGACAATTTAATAGTGTTGCTGATCGGTCCTTTTCTGTTTTGCGTTTTAATCATGGAAGGGGTTATAACAGGAGATGGAAAATACGACACCGAGATTCGAACACGTAAGAGACAAACGAAAGAATAATTCCAAAAGCTAAATGATGTGCTGAGAAACAGAAAAAAACTTCGTTAGAAACAAAGAAAAGAGTGCTGGTTTGCTACGTGTTATCCATCCTCTCATATGGCCGTGAATGCAGGAAAATCTCCCCGCGGATAACGAGAAAGCTGACGGCAGTAGAAACGTGGTTCTACGAAGAAATACTGAAAATTTCATTGACGAAACGAGTAAACAAGAAGGAAGTCTTGAAGAAATTAGCAGTAAAAAGAATACTTATATTCAGAATCAAGAAATTATAGCTGAAATTCCTTGGGTGCATGACGAGGAAAGCGGCTTAGAAAAATTGACCCTGGCGGTGCATATTGGGGGCAAGATAGATAGAGGAAAGCAACAAGCCACGTACGTGACGAGCTTGCGTGAATGGATGGCGGGACGAGGAACGGAAGCCTTAAAGGGAGAAAAAACTGCTAAGAGCCACAGGAGATAGGAAGTTGTGGAGAGCCATGATTAACTATATCCTCAACTGAAGAGGCACATAGAAGTAAAAACGAAAAATAATAATCGCTCATTTTTGGTATTCATTTCAAGAGATAAGTGAACCAGATAAGAAATCTTAAAATCGCATTGGGCCACAATTATCTGATTTTCTTTCATTTCTATCCACTTCTAGAATTACACGAGGAGCTCCAAAAACTTTAGCCAAATTTTGAAATAATTCCCTCAAATTTCCAAGATACCTACACCAGTTTTGAGAGAACTACATAAAATGATCTTACATCTTTATTTCATTGACAAGTTAAGAGTGTTGAACAGTTTGCTTTTATTTTTGTGGATTGGAAAATCAGTTGTAACCTTTTTGTTGGTGGCATGTAAAAGATACACTGCTTTAAGCAGCTTGAAACTGAAAAAAAAAGGCCATGTAAATGTATTGAACCAGTGAAAGAACGATGACGATAAAGACATGATAATATACAAATGTCTAAATAGAAATTGTTCCATCTTATTAACATGAATATAAGGTGCCTTAGCAAGTCATTGTAGTTGAACATTTGCCTTCTTTTTTACGCTAAAATCATGTCTAAAATTTATGCCGAATCAAAGATGAAGGTTGTAGCGTTTACGGAGGAGATTATTGAACGAGGCATAGCCAGACGACTGGGCATTTCCAGAAACAGTGTTCAAACCATCCAAAATAACAAAACAAAAAAAAAACAAAAAAAGTTTGCTTCAACTGAAGGGTGTTAAGTGCAAAGAAGACCACAAAAAAGACCACATATTCAATGCATGGACGAATGGTCGACTTATAAAAGATTAAGTAACACTTGACAGAATCCCTATAAGGATTTGAAAAATTATCGGTCATGACCTGGCATCTCCGCTTGTCCCTTTCCCACCACCGTACCTCCCCTGTACCTTTTCTATAAATATTTTAATTAAACTGTTCTGATAAACTTTCCCCTTTTGTACCTCGACTTTACAAATTTAAGCGCAGTACTAGATTGACAGCTAGGTCTCATCCTTTTACAGTTGAAATTGCTAAGTTTAACCGTAAGTTCTATGCTAACAGATTCTCTAGCACTTCTTGCTTGTGGAACTCTCTCCTGGTTTCTTCGTTTCCAGTCAACTTTGATCTTCAAAAATTTAAATGCAATGTGAATCGTTATCTTCTGCCGTGTTAATTCCTGTTCATATATATATATATATATATATATATATATATATATATATATATATATATATATATATATATATATCTTTCCTTAATGATGTTTTCCTTTTTCTTATATTCTTTCACAATCTGTAACTTCTTGCATCATAGTGGTTTTATTGCCTTCCTTGGGGGGATATGATTGAAAAAATGACCTTGATAATATCGTATCGTCATAGATGGTCTTTAGATGTGTTCATGAACAAGCTATGGAGTAAAGGTCTGTAAAAAAACGAAAATACTTTTGATAAAAGCCGAATATATAATAATTCTAATAATAAGAGAGCGGACTTATCGTCATTATATGTGTAGATGGAATTGGCTTTCGAATAACTCTCGAGACACGGAAATATTTTTGTTACGAAATAATATATGTTTTATTTGACGATGTAAATCTTTGTACAGTCGAATAATTTGGTTATTCATTCAGTATATGAAACTGAATTTTTCTATGTACCTTCTTCCCTTCCGGAAGTGGACAATCAAGTTCTCCCTAACTTCCTGTCTTTTGTAACTCTTAGTAACTTTTGTCTGATTGCTATCTCTCCTAATCCCTGTTCTGCCAATTACTTACAAATAAATCATTGAAAAGCTTTCATATTGCTAGTTTATTATCAACACCAAATTATACTTTTTAAAGCTGCAGGCTTATAGTTGAATCGACTACATATATACGCTTTTTACTGAAGTCAACTATCGCAATGTTACAGCTGTGGCCAGATATTATATCCGCGTCGTCAGCTATTAAATTTCCAGTGTTATTAACTGACATAGCAATTCCAATATTTTCGGTCCGTCTAGCTTTGATTAAATAAGCAGACATCAGTTTACATTTTTAAATAACTTCTTGTTAGGATCTTAGAGCTAATATTTTAGAATTTCGCATTTTTCTATTATACACCGTGACACTTCAGAACATGGACGTTCACAGATCTCCACAGCTTCCTATCCTTTGCAACTCTAGACATTATTTGTTTTCTTATTGTATATCCTAGCCCCTTGTCTGCTACCCATTTACACGGGCACGTTAGATAGGTTACTAGCTGATTTGCTATGACCATCTTGTGTTCACTGTGTCAGATGAGTGTGAAATTCTGCAAGACCACTTTCTTCATCATGTACCATAGGAAATTTGACTGTTTCATTTTGATTTTAAGTAAAAGCGTTTTTTTTTTCCCATTTACCTAAAGAAAAAAAACTCATCGTTTACCTGTTCCGTCCATATTATTCTCAGCATCCTTCTGCAGGACCACATCCCTTTTGCCTCAAATCTTCTCTTCTTCCCCGAGGAAATTGCTCAGTAAATGCTACCATATCGGACTGATATTGTATAGCAGTTCAAGAATTTTTCTCTCTGTTTTTAACGATATTATTCTTGTTTCTTATTACTTTGCTTTGCTTTTAGAATGCAACTTCTGATATTTCAATGTTTCTTCGGATCTCAGTGTCACCTTTCCATCGTCAGTTATAACACTTGTCAGTTATAACACTGTTATAATACTTGTCAGATTTCTGTACTTACTTTTTATCTGACATCTCTAATTCGTAGCTCGAATCTCAGATGATTCTTCTTGCTGACGAGTGTACATTCGTGTTTCTTATAGTTGCCTCTTAGTCCTTTCTTCTAGCTTTCCGTTAGTATCTTGTCTAGGAATTCCTACAGTTTTCTTTCTGTTCTTGTCCTCAACTGGGTGTCTTCTGCATATTATATCTTGTTAAGATTTTGTCCGCCATTAATACAGCCTGGTACGATTTTTAGATCTCGATGCGTAGGTTGGATAAATTCGGTGTGAAGACATATTTTTTTATTTTACGGTCTTTT